ATTATGTGCTTAGAGGAACGCTGTATTTGCATCAAATGTCATGTTCAGCTGTTTAAATTTGCTATGTTACCTTCTTTGCACAATTGGAATATCAGTTGTGATGCATGCTACACTATACACGAAAATACCTCGCTATTGCCTTTATCCTAGTCTATTACCATACGCTTGAAGATCAACTTCTCCGCAAGGTGTGTGCATCAGTCTAACTAAACAAGGTGACTGTTTAAGGAGAGACGAGCAAGAGTGTTTTTGTTGAATGCCCCCACTAACTGTAGATTCCTGGTCCGTTGCTATGGCAGTCTGTCTCTGTTTGTCTGTTTTCGACAGAGAACTTTGCACCGATATGCAGCAATAATAATAATGACGAAATGCATGTCAAATATGCTCAAGAGAACACCAACAGTGAGGAATTTAAATCATCAGTAGTAATTCCATACAAGGAAGGAACCTCGGGAACCAGCTTACGCAGAATTCTTAACAAAGCAGGAATAAGGAAAGTGGCTGGCATTCAAACCAACCACAAACTCAATTAGAAACAAGCTTTGTCGGTTAAAAGATCAATCCTGACAGTGGAGCCTTTAAAACAAAACAATTTAGTTCATCTAATACCCTGCCTGAGATGATTGTCAGGTCAAATACGTAGGTCAAACTAGTAGAACAGGGGCAGTCAGTTAGACTAGCCGAGCATAAAAACCTAGCTGCAAAATCTAGATTAGTTGACCCGACACTGAGATAAGAAATCTAGAGAATAGTTCAGCTATACCACCGACTACATGCAATTACACACAAACAACCATACAATAGGATGAATGGGATAGGATGACAGTTTTAAAATCTATTGTCACAGGGTGGAGGGAGAGATTCATAACAGAAACACTGTTTATCGAATAGACTGCAAATACATGTAACAGGAATGATTCAACACCTGTCCATCCAGACATCTGGAAAATTCTACTACCCCAACGACAAATAGGAGAGGACAAAGAAAACTATAAAACGGAAGTTTCGAAGTCGAGTGATTATGACTGATATGATATGATTATGGATAGCAATAAATTTTGTTCGAAACTGTGTTATCCAGTAAATAATACTGTTTCACAGACTGTGTGATATACATCTAATAAACAAACTAATATGGAAGAAAATAACTAATCAGAAGACGTTACCTGTCTGCTAACAATAACGAATAACAATATACAAAAATAATCTATAAATATCTGTTGATTTTCTCCATAAACAGTCTGTTGCCTGGCGCTTGTCTTCTGTCGTTACAATATAAGTAGCTATAACTAATCATATAAATCAGTAATGTTTATTAGTTAGGTGTTCTCTCCTCCTATGCTTAGACGCTGCTATTTGGCTAACAATTACTACTGGTTGATGGGTGAGATTTATGTCTACTTGTGAGCATTATCTACTCATGCCTGTTTGCCGCTTATTTCTTCACGTTCCCCAGTGGAATATAGGGCACCTTCAAGCTAGAGCCAGCTTGAAATTTCGACAGTAGTGTTTTATTTTATAGGATGGTGTTGCTAGCCTCATACCCAACCTTCCTTCTTTTACCAGTCTTATTACTGATTTAGTCAGGTTAAGAAATGCCTCCGCCGGGGATCGAACACTGGACTATATGAGGCGTGTTTGGCGAGCATTCTACTGCTGTGCCACCGATGCACTTATCACTGAGTGACTGCTGGTACACATCCAGTTGACAAATGGCATATATGATGTGTAACCTGAGTCCCCCTGCTAGTCTCCATCTACGAAATAGCATCATATCAGTCCCTAGACATAATCGAAGCGTTGATATGTCGTGCACCTTGAATGTTTGTCCTGACGCATTCATTCACTATGGCGCCACACATTCGTCTGGTGTTTTCCAGCGTGACTGTACACACGTGATTCGCCTCCTTGTTGTGTTACCATTAAGCGCACTCTTAGAGCTTACTACCCAGCCGGGCAACAGATAAGTTGTACAACATTTTTATTTATTAGAATTGAGATTTAATCATGGGTAAAATACAACTTTCATCAGGACACACTACCCAGTCTCAAACGTTTTTTACTTTGATTTTGTTAGTCAGTACTTACCCGCTAGGTAATATAGTGCTAAGGGTATTAAGATGAGAAGTCTTTAGTGAGTGCGGTTAGTTGACGTCTATCTTGAGTACAATCAACACCCACAGATACTAGGAGCCAGCATGTTAACACAGAGACTAAACACTTTGGTTTAATACGTGATCAATCGATGGGGGAATACAAAAACTAAAATTAGGTAAATACCGATAACTCTATATTATGGCGACCCAAGTAAACGGACATAATGGTCTTGACCAACTTGTCAAATGAACCAGTAGTAAATAGGTATCTTTTAAAAAACCTTTTAAACATATCAAAGTTAGTATTGAGAAGTGGTTATATGCAGCAACTCTCGCGTATTTGTCCAAAGAACCCTCCTAATTCCTTACTGGAGTCTTTAGTGACAGTCAAAACCTGTTTCTGTACATACTCTCATCCAGACAACTGCAAATCATGCTGTTTTTCAACTCACTCACTGTTCTACAGGATCCATGATGGTTCATGGTTGATATAACATATCTTCTTCAACAGATTTCCTGTATTACGACAGCCTCGATATTTGTGCACGTACATATCCATCAACAGCGGTTGCATACCTATTCACATCAGAGATACTACTCCTCCACATCTAAAATCTTCCTATACGCTTAGTAACCCGACAGGTCTCAAATACCACACCTACTTTTTGATGAAATTCGCAGTGTAATTCGTGTACTGCATTTGTATTTTCGTGTGTTTACTATAGACTATGAGCATCCATTTTGCCCGCAGCTTCAACGTTGTGTCTCCTCAGGTAAAACAAGAAGATTTTGATGACATTAAATGGTTGTAGGCAATTGGCCACAGGAAGCCTTGCTTGACCTAGGTTTCGTTCTAGTTGGCAGTCATCAGCAAGGTGTATCTGCAACCTTGAAGGAACTCATCTCATCCCTTCTGAGATTCAAACCGTGCACCGTGATGGCGAGCTGCCTAGAATGGTGGTCACATTGTGGTGAGAGCTGGCTGTTAGTCAAAATTGGTGGACATTAATTTACGTCAATATTTATGTCCCCAATATTGGTCGTGAGAAAAGTGAGAACAAAGGCTTTGCGTAGGCGGATACAGTTAACATATAAATGATCTGTTGCCTGGCCCTTGTCTTCTGTTGTTACAACATTACAAACCTGACTGATGATATAATTCAGTCTGCACCAAAAAAAAGGACTAGACTAGTGTCACACTAGTTACTAGTGTCCAATCAAAACAGGCAGTCTTTTCAGAAGACTTTATGCACGTACTACGTCTAAGTACAGAAATTCCATTATACCATATTTGGTGTCACGTATTTTATGTTATGAAAATAGCGTTAGGCATGAACTAATTAACCTTCTTTCCACTAATTAATAAACCATTTCCTCCACCTTTACACCATCAAACCTTATTGTTGTTGTACTTCTTATATTTATAATCCTCTCAATTTTTTTGTTTTTATTTATTTATTTTTCATAAATGTGAACATCATTTAAGCTGTGTTAGAACTGTTAATCTTATATTTCCCCTCACCATGCTGCTATATCTACAGAACATTAGATTCAATAATCTATAGTAACATGCTAAAATTTCCAAACTGAATCGACAATACTGTTTGAAACAAATTCACTGTTATTATTATTATTATTACTATTATTATATTTATTATTCTCAGTTCGTACTTCGAATATTTTTCACTTTATACCGTAAATGTGGACAAATTCCTCTGGTTACTTTTGTTTTTAAATTTTAATTTTATTTATATTTTGAGTAAATCAGATGCAAAATATTGTGACAAATGCTGAAAATTCCATTCTATATTATAATTTTTTTTAAATTTTTTGATTACAGCTTGATTCCACACTGTATTTTTGGTACAAGTATGAAATTTTCAGCATGGATAGCGGTAGCCCAAATTTTGCAGGCCGACCATAGATAGATATCAGGTGTGCGTCGACAGGGGATAGAACCTCGGACCATGTGCATGGTTGGCGAGAGTCCTATCCACTGTGCCACCGACGCTGTTTGTTTTGGAATAAAGTAGGTTATTATTAATTATTACGTCTGTTCACTTAGATCGCTAAAGTTTAAAATTACCTAAATAACACTTCCATGACGACACATCATTGGTTATTAAAACAACAAAAAGAACAACAAAAGTTGATTATGGCGCATTAATAATACTTCATTATCCCGATTTCTTTGCTTCCCATTATAACATAATCATCATCTGAATACATAAATACAATAAAATTGAAACATTGAATTGGAAAAAAACACACACCAAGCAACCAATAATATCATCATCAACCAAAGTTGTTTTAATGCATAGTAGTGTGAAGTATGCGTAAATAATATAAGTATATAGAAAATAACCAGAAAAGAAAAGAAAATACCGTAAAAAATATTTACACGTAGGATACAGCTGTCAGATTAAAATATAATAAATCTCATAAATTTGTTTGTTTGTTTAAATGAAGTCAATTACAGTTACAAATGGACACATATTGGACATTGAACAAGTAGAGTTTATTCTGTCGCCACAAAAAACAGTAAGTAACCCGATTAAAACAACACATTTTGTTTCAGCTAAAAGTCTGTAAAAGAGGAAGAAGAAATATGAAGAAGAGAGATTCGAAAGACAACCTGTTTTGCGTTTTGTTTTGTTAGAATAACTCAAAAAAACAAATTCATGACAAGGCGGCGGGAAAGCAAAAAAAGAGGGGCGGGAAATTAATTTTCTAGAAAAATATGTCAGCATTTACGAAATTTACTATCGTCATTATCATCATCAACATCTGTATTTCAAATTATATGAAATTCAAAAGGGAGAAATAATATTATCAATAATAATAATACTTATTATTATAATACATAATACTTCTTATGGTTATAATGGATAATAATTTTAAATTTCAGATATTCGGAAAACATGGATTTAAACTATGCTCATAACAGATAGAAGCAAGTTCATAACAGAATTCATCAAAAATAATTGAAGCATAAACTAAATTACGTGTTTTATTAGAGATATCAGTAGTAGTATCTGAACTACCGGGAAATTTAAGATGACTTCCATCACGATTACTGTGATCGCCAACGCTATCAGCATCACCGTCACCTTCATCTTCTGATCCTGAATTATAAACTTTCGATTTGCTTTGACGATGATCAGATGAGAAAAGCGATGAACGTGGTTGTTGTTGTTGTAATGATGCACGTTTTAATACAGGACTAAGTGCAATTCGACTAGTTAATCCAAAGAGTTGATTAATTCGACTACGACTACTATGACGTATATGTGAACCGATATTACTCAAACTGGAGGTAGTACTACTTGTAACGCTACCACTACGGTGTGAACGTTCATTACTGCCTGCTTTACTATTGTTAATATTAATGTTATCCATTGAAGGTGTAGGATAGATAACAGGTGATAAGGGGATAACATGTTGAAGAGAATTTTTGTGTAATTGACAATCTGTTGAATGATTTTGTGAAGACTTAGATGTAGCATCTCTGGCTTGAGATACACCTAAAAATAGAAGAATAAACACTTCTGTAGATTATGCAATACAATTATAGAAAATTTATAAAAATATGAATCCTTCGAAGTGAGTACTGGAGGGAGTGAGGCAAGGCTGGCTGTCTACTATCGCCAATGATCTTCCTGATTGCAGTAGATTGGATAGTGCGACAAACAACGGCGGACAAAGAGGAAACAGACATAAAATGGACTCACACAAAGACAAACTTGGAGGATCTGGACTTCACCGATGCGATATATATGTCTGATTTCCCACAAACTAGAAGATATGCAAGTGAAAAGCAACATGTTGGCAGAAGAAGCACCCAGAGAAGACAGGACTTCAGGTGAACATAGAGAAAACAGAGGTGATGAAGATTCCTGGCCAACACCACCACCACCAACAACAACAGACAACAATCAGCCAGTATAAATGGGAGGAACCTGAAAGGAACAACCTCCTTCACCTACCTGGGAAGCATCGTTTCAACTGCAGGCCAACGGAACTGACGAGGATATCAAAGCCAGAATCGGAAAAGCAAGACAAGCTTTCATTACTCTTAAGTCTATGTGGAGATAGGTCAACAGCACTCAGCATCAAAAATAAGATCCGAATTTTCAACTCCAATGTGAAGTAAATGCTACTATACGGATCAGAGACTTAGTCAGCGCGTCATGAAGAGCACCACACCTTCATCAACAGCTGTCTTCGCTCCTACTACTCAAGATCAGATGGTCAGAAAAGATCAGCAATAGGGATCTCTCGCAATGAGTGAACCAACCCAGTAGAAACCGATTATGCAACAAATAAGCAAGAAAAAATGGAGATGTAAGAATATATGATTCTGTACAGAGTTGAATTTATCTAATAGACGACTCGCATCTTCATGATTGTCGTATATCAAAATGATATCATCTACATATCTCTTATAGAAGGGCAATTTTGAAATTAAATCAAGGGATAAGTTTTCATGTAAACGTTCGCTAACAAAGGTCCTAATGAACTCCCCATAGCAATGCCATCCACTTGTCGAAAATGTTCACCTTCAAATGTGAAATGGACGTTATCAGTGCATAATAATAATAATAAATCTTTCAAATAAGTTAAAGGGAAAGGGAATGAGAAACAACTTAAATATGTTGACTTGACAAGTAAATGTGTGAAGGATCAGATTGTTCGAAATGTATAGCGCAAATCCACACCACATTTTTGAGATAATCTCCGTCTTCTATTAACGCTATCAAAAGTGTAGTAATAATAAAATAGACAGGAAATTCGGATAAAGATTGGACACTAATGTGTCATGCGTCCAGTCTTTTGTTTAATGTCGACTGAATTCTATCAGTCAGGTTAGCAATGTGACCCAAAATAGTGATTATCCTATTACCTAGATTATTATTATTATTATCCTCTAATGTCACAAAATCAACATCGAGAGTCAATCACCATCAATGGGAGGGATTTGAAAGAGGTTACTTCATTCGCTTCATTTATCCTGGGAACATTGTCTCAACTACAGGCAGTCGGAACGGACGAGGATGTCAAATCGAGCGAGAATCGGGAAGGCGAGCGAGAAACACATCAGCATCATCAACCTGAAACAATCAATCTGGAAATCTTCGTCACTCAACTCAGCATCAACAACAAAATTCGGTCAGATTTTCAATACAAATACGTCAATTCAGTCAGTTCTTCTATACAGATCAGAAACTTGACGGGTGGGTTACAAAGAATATTTCCAACAGCCTGTTGCAGACGTTACCTTTATCAACAACTGTCTTCACTGGATCTATACTGAAGATCAATCATATGGCCGGGCGGGCCGGAAAGAATCACCTACTATTGCAAACTATGGGAACAAAGAAAATAAAACAAGAACCAATTACCAACCAACAAATGTGCAAGAGAAAGTGGAGATGGATTGGACACTCGCTGAGGTGAGGAGGCCACTGGGTGACATCGCGTGCGCCTCAGGCCATTGGTCGAGTCAAACCAGGCCAAAAGGGAGGCGGCGAGTGGGAAGTCAGTGCAAGGGTGACATGGAGAAGATCGTGTGAAGAGAGAGGAGTTGAAAGAGTATGGACTAACTAACATGGATGCAGGTGAAAAGTACAGCAGCAGAAGACAGAAGTGGCAAGTGGAGACGTACAGTTGAAGCCCTATGTTTCACTAGGAACCCAAGGGAACAATAATAATAATTATTATAATATAATGTCACAAGAACTCGAATACTTTTAGGCACGCGAAAACCAACAGACTGGCTGAAGAAGCTGGCAAACAGCAAGGATAGGACACTCCAGATGAACATAGAGAAGATGAAGGTGATGAAAATAACCAACCACCACCACCACCATCAACGACAACAAGAACAACCAGCACCGATCCCCGTCAGTGAGAGAGATTTCGAAGAGGTTGCTTCCTTCACTTCTCTAGGCAGCCAGTATCGTTTCAGCCACAGGCCAGCGGAACAAATGAAGATATCAAAGCCAACCAGTCAGAATCGGAAAGGCAACATACGCCTTCATGAACCTGAAACCAGTTTGGAAATCCTCTTCACTCCACCTCAGCCAGCCAGCCAGCCAGCATAAACAACAAGATTCGGATTCTGTTCAACCCTCACCCCCCCACACACACTTCACTGGCTGGCTCCATACTGAAGATTAAATGGCCAACTGAACGGTCAGAAAGAATTAGCACCAAGAAAATTTGACTGACAACGAACCAGCCAACAATCGATCGCTCAACAAAAACACATTAATCACACGAAGTCAATTGGTAGATGCTGATTAGCAGTGATACGAATTCAGGATAAGGGGCATTTCGTCCTATTTGGAACTCGTCAGCTATCTGGATGTACCTGCATTCATTCCCCAATGAGTCAGTGATCATGTTACCAGCGAGGCTCGAAACCGGTGCCCATAGTTTCAAACGCCAGCCAAAGCGTTATCCACTACTAAACCACTTGAGCAACGAGAGCTACCTTTGTTATGCAAAGGGTCACATATTAATTATTTAATTCAATTTAGATTGACTGGACCGAGTATTATTGTTAAGTGAAATTATATATATATATATGCGTCGGTGGTACAGCGGTTAGGACGCTCGCCAACCATGCACATGGTCCCGGGTTCGATCCCCTGCCGACGCACTCCTTCACCTCGCTAAGACAGAAATAAAGCTGGTAAAGAGGAGCATGAGGCTAGCAACCTCATCCTGTTAAATTAAACACTGCTATAGAAACTTCAAGCCACTAGCTTGAGGCCCTATGTTCCACTGGGAACGTGAAGGAAATATATATATATATATATATATATATATATAAGCATACCTTTCTGCTGATTGTTTGAAGGATTTGTTGTCATCTTTTTTCGTCTATTGACCTGTGAACTACCCCACAACCACCGCCACCACGATGTGTTGTATAAAAATTTGGATCTATTGTCATTTTAAATGGACCTGGCCATACAATATTCAAGTAAACACGAGCACGGAATACAAGTGACTTCCATTGTTCAACAGATTCTGAAGCAACTACAATTTGACTGTTAACTGATCTAAGAACCTAAACAAACAACAATTTAAGAAAAAATGAATGAAGGTTAAACAAAGTGAAACTTTTAGGATTTTTCTTTCTTTAAGACAATGAAGCAACACAGTTGTGCTAACTCAACTTTAAAATTTATCTTTCATACTAAATGAAAAAAGTGATTATTTACAGGATTTCATCATGAGCTGACATCAGTTAGAAAACCATTGGAAAACCAATAGGGAGTACTGGACAGATGTTCCTTTTGTCCTAGTTCGGGACACTTCATGAGTAACCATCTACCACGGGGGTTAAAACGCAGGACCTTCTGTTTACAAGGCGAGTAACCTCATCGAATACTATGTCACTGGGTTTCAACCTAATGGACTATGAATTCTAACTTCTACCAATTCACGACATAGCGCGCCGTTAGCCGATATCTTATCTGGCGAGTATTTGTTCTCACACCCAACCTGCTGCACCCTACTGGTCACGACTTTTCACTAGAACCCCATTTGATTGATTGGTCACAGTTCGAGAGGGATTGGAAAACCTGGGAGTAATAGGCAGTTGTTTCGTCAGCCTAGTTTGGGACTCCTCATCAGTACGCTTCCACTGCTAGGGTTACGAGCTCGCCTTGTAACCATAAGGTCCTGGATTCGAACCCTGGCGATGGGTGAGTACTGATGAGGAGTCCCAACCTAGGCTGACGAAACAACTGCCTATTACTATCAGGTTTTCCAATGGTTCTCTAACTAATGTCAGCTCATGATGAAAACCTGTAACCGGTTATTATGATTATTATTCCCTTAAGTTCCGAACGGAAAATAAGGCTTCAACAGCAAATCCTCATTTCATCCTGTTCTTTGAAGTACACTCTTTGTCTGGCTCTACAATTGACCATATGCTTTCATCTCTTCCTCCCACTCCTCCTCAAACGATCTCGTTCGTGACACTCTTGAAAGAACACCAAATTTGTTATTTCTCATTCACGTTTCACTAGAGTGCCTGACGGACGAGCGATCTCACTCAGCGTATATTTCTGACTCATTTCCATTTTGTTGAGCATATTTCTCGAGCACTTAGGTTCTAAGCAGCTTTGTTACTAACGAATGATTAAATATTGGATAGTTGAAGGCAATCTAAGGTAAGTCGAGAAACTAGATTTCGTGTTTACTTGACACTTGTCAGAATGAGAGTCCATGATGCTTCAGATGACATGAATGAAATGATTGCTGCATGTTTAACACAACAAATATCGTAGTACACGAAGTTGATTACACAGTATTGACCGATGAATTTATTCACCACAGTCTTACAGGAGGTTGGTTTTGAGCTTGAATATCTCTAACTGCAGCACTGGGTGACACAAGTTAGAATCTTTCAGAGGAGGCTAGTTCCTCAGAAGTTACAAATACGCCTGCCAATAGCCTCCGACTACCTAGTACATCGCTATTCTACTAAGCTCAATAATAAGACTCCATATTTAGCCAGTGTCGGTGACACAATGGTAGAATGCTCGCCGACCACACGTGTAGTCCGTGGTTCGATTCCCAGCCACTGACACAGTCTTTCACCTCACTAAGCCAGTGATAAGACTGGTAAAGAGGGAAGGTTGGGCATGAGGCTAGCAACCTCATCCTGTAAAAATAGATACCAGTGCTACAGAAACTTCAAGCTGGCGCTAGCTTGAACCCCTATGTTCCACTGGGAACGTGAAGGATGACCTCTCGGTTTCTATGCCTGTCAACTCTCAGTCAGATTGTTCCAAATTAAATAACTTTCTGTCGGAAATTAGTCAGTGGTCCTCTTCAAACGGACTTAAGCTTAATCCGTCCAAATGTCAGGTAGTCAATTTCACTTTCAGACGTAAATGTGACCTACAGCAACTAGTTAGCTCACATGGCCCCGCTATCATTGACGGCACAGAGGTTGAAAATACATCTAATGTCAAGTACCTTGGGCTGAGTTTTTCCACCTATCTTTCCTGGTCTTCCCACATCTTGCTAGTTACTAGAAAGATGTTTCACTTAACGTTCGACATTAGGAAATTTAGGCAGTCTGGCATAAAGCAGTCTTTGCTTTCTCAGTTTGTAAATTCTTGTATTCCACCCATCCTCCCGCCTTTACTGCTCCCCATTAGTCTTTCCTGGACTAATTAAGAAAGACTTTGCTCTGCTGAGAAGGGCAGGCACTAAAAGCCGTTAGTAGGGCAAGTGGGATATCGTTAAACCAACTGGTTAACACTATTGTAGATAGACATATTACGTCATGTAAGAAACTAGCGAATACAATATTATCGGACCCCGAGAATCCTCTCTATACGCATCTATCTCCTTGCATTTCATCTGGTAGAACTAGAAGTAGCTATACGAGGCTATATGCTAGGACTACCAAATACAAAAACTCCACAATACCGTATCTGGCACAGCTGTTATGTGGTGATGAGAAATCCGTTAGGTATGACACGATCAACTTACTGCGGCACTCTAACAAATAGTCTCATTAGTTTTTGTTTTCCTTTCGTCGTTACTATTACACTGTTGTTCTCATCTTCTATCACACATCAACTTTATATTTCATATCCTGTGGTGCATCGTTTGAAATGTAATACTCTACGCTGTTTTTTTTATTTTTATTTATTTTATTCATTTATAACTTATCTATTTTACTTTTATTTATTTATCTTTGATTTCGAAAATCTTATATAATTTATGAGGTAATAAGATGCAATATACTGTAATGCACGCTGAAAATTCCATACCTGTACCACAAATACCGTTTGGAATAAAGCTGTTATTATTCTATTCTATTCTAAAGAAAAATGATTTAGCCAGCAAACTACACTCGATCCTATGAAATTTATTAAAAGAGATCAGATCATATATCAAGGTTTGAGTTAGATCTATTGAAATAGGCCTAAATATATTACTTAACACTGGTAGCTACAGTAGAATTCAAACGCGTCACCCTAACTATTAGGAAATTTTATAAGCTGGAAGAAAGCACAATGCCTCAACTTTTTCTTAAACCCCAATATTGATAATTTATTTTATGAATGTTTGTCAAAGCTTAACTGATTAATGTAATCAATAAAACATTCAGTCTTATTTGGTTTTATAACTTTGTACCCTTCCATAAAGTTTACTTCTTATATCAGTTCGTTAACCGTATGAGTATGGTGAATTTATAATCTGTCCAAATGGTTGAGTGGTAAAAGATCCTACATTCAATATCCCCGATGGGGTAATGGGTACATGCTGCTGAAGAGTTGTTAACTGGGCTTTCAATATTTCTCCAACTTAAGTCAGTTCGTGATACAACTTATTCAGCTCCATCAATACTTTTATACAATAATAGATTAAATGACACTTGTAAAAAAAAATAATATTTGTAGAATCTCAGCGAAATTGTGAAATGATTAATTCCAACGTTTCCAGTATTCGGCAATCTGGTCCGAACTTCTTCAGTGAAATTAATCGAAATTAACATAACAGAGGTTTATGTATATGAAAAGGGGGACATCTCTTGCTCTTTTTAAAAAAACTTTATCCAATCATGAGTCATGGAACAAGTATCAACAAGTATAATAAACAAAATTGTATGAGCTGTGATCAAAATTTGACCTGACTTAACCTCAAAAATTAGTGTACTTTTGTTAAACAATTTAAACAGAGTGTACTTTTCATCCGATTATTTTCGACTAAAATTGAATATGAAAATATGTGTGTATGTGTGCATCGGTAGACAGTTGTAAAACATTTGTTAGCTTCTCCATAAGAAGATATAGACAGTTGGGAACTTTGACCAAGCATGATTAATTGTTGATACATATCTAATTTTTAATTATTAATCAGGACTTACCATGCATCAGCTAACATCACACCTTCATGTCTGTTCAAACTATAGGGATTCACCCATATATGCAGGGCTTCTGCAGTCAGTCTTTTTTTATACGAACCAAGATCTTTCTGTAGAACCTTAATCCTATCAAAATGGATTTAGTGTCCCATTTAAGGTACAGGATGAGCACATTACCATTTCGCCCATGAATACTACCTCCTACCTATTCGCGATAACACAACACCATTGGGAATACCAGAGAGAAACATAAAGCTTGAGGCCTCTATTCTAAAGTTTTAGTAATGGTGTTATTCTAGTTACGAAACGAGGTTGTTAGCCCAACTCTCACTCTATTACTTATTTATTAATAAACAGCATAACAGGAGAGGTTTAGTAATACATTGGTCGGGAATCGAACGTTGACCTACCTACCACGTGGTTGCAACGGATTCTACCATTGAACTAACCAATATTATCAGCGGACTAGTCAAAACTTAGGCTACCAAAAACCACCACAACTATAGTGCATATTATTTTCTCTTATCCACTATGTTTTAAGTGATTAAAGTCTAACCTCTAATAGAATTGTTCACTCTCGTGAGTATTTAAAATGTTTAAGACCTTCAGATTCAACAGTTTCTACTGCACTTGAGAAGAAGCATAATTGTTCGGCGGTGGGGGAGGGGGAGATGGGGCGGCAACATATTTCAATACATGAGATAAGTGTTCCTGAGTTATGTCCATGAATCTCATTATTCACGTTAGCTATACTACCACCATTCTTCACCATCTTACTTCAATGAGTACACTATCTTAAATAACTGTCTGAGAAAGGAATGATGCTATTACTAATATGGTGTCATCTGGCCAATATGTATAAATTAATGTATAAATAAAATAGTTACAATTATGTATCATATATAATAAGCACAACGTGTAGCACAGGTGATGTACATAATAGATATCTGTTCCTTATTGTGTGAAGTGCTCTAAATATGTTTTTTGCGTTTATAATTATACTACTTTTTTACTATTTGAGTACTATCATTTCGTACAATTTATTTCCCTAGGATGAACTAGAACAAAGCAAAAACAACAAATTAAACTAGATAATTTCCAGGTATTGGTTTTCTGGCATTTTGTTTGATTGACTGGAGGGTTTCATCATGCGTTGATATCAGTTACAGCAGCAC